ACATTTATTTCTTTAAGTACTACAAAGTTAATATGTTTCGGAGGGTACTAATTCCCCCCGGCTATTTACACCCGGGGAAACGAAAGCATTAGCGAAGTCTAAAGTTCATCAATTATCGCGGGCGTGGGTCACCAACGGTGTTCGAGTGTTGGGTGTGTGGTCATCCTCACTGATCTCAAGAATATGGCGGACTGTCATGAATAGCGGACACTGATTGGTCCAATTTAAAGTTTGCATTATAACGACTGCATGACGACAGCGAAATAGCAAACATTTCTTCATTTCTTGATTTGTTGATTGAGAAATTTCTTGCAAATATATTTCATTTTTGCTCGCATTTTGGCAAGATTTTGTAAATTTCAAAAGGTTTCTCAGAAAGAAAGGGCGAAAGAATCGGCTAAAAGAAGGGAGCCGACGTTAACGAAGGTAAGTTTGTTTTAAATACTGATTTTATAATGACTTTAAAACCCGACGGCCTTTGCGTATATGAAATAACTATTACAAGACAGCATATAATTTCAGTGTATCTTTAATAATATTGATTCCCTTTTTTTATATTGAATTTTTTAAATAAGAAAGCAAAGAAAGAAAAGAAAGCAAAGTAATTTGCAAGCGAGAATTTGAAATCATTTTATTGCAAACTCACAGTTTATCGATAAAGCCATTAAATTAAAGGCAGTTTAGTTTTATAAAGAATACTTTAAAACGTTTTGCGAAGCGTTTGTGGTTGAATTTTACCTGAAATTGAAGCTTATATTACGTATAACAACATACCTAATATATATATATGTCGGGAAATTGATAATTTTGTCATTAAAAGTGATATTTTTAGAAGATTTTTTATTTGTAAGAATATTCTTAAAAATTATCGTGTTACCATGACAACTACTTTAGATACTTCATGTTCGGAAAATACAATGGTTTTGTCAGCAAGGCGAGTGTTTCTGCATGCATATGTATTTTCTAGTCTGTATAAATATAATATCGTTTCTTCGAGACGTTTACAAAGTTAATATGGTCTACTTCTAAGAGCATAATGTGTTTGATTTTGTTTAAATTACGCACAACATTTAAAAAAATGTTCTTTCTAATAAGAGTCGTTCGGCTTTATTGTTCATTAGCCAAGGTTTCTTGAACATAGTTTCGGACCGTTGGCTCGTGCAGATTCACCCACTTCATACGACCCGTAGATTGGTTCACTATTTTGACAGGCCAATAATGTTCTCCGCCGATATAGACACCCGGATGGCTAGGATCAAAACTATTGCGCGATGACTTATACATCTCTGTGATAACATATCCTTCGGGAATGTTACGGACCACCTGTGCTCCCAAAGTGTAGTTTTGCCACTCGGGAATAGTTGCATCCGACCAGGTAATATACCTATGATGTGTATGTTGTTTTCTTCCAGGCTTGTGACTCGGTGTGGGCTTGATATTAGTATTGTTCTCTTTAGTTTGGGTGGCGAAGAGATGAACATGGCAGTCGTCAAATAGGTCCCCAAGAACTTGCTTATCGGCTGGTGTGTCAGGTTTGTTATCCACGACCAAGTATCCAAACGGTTTTTCGGTCTCTTTGTAATAAGCATTCACAAAGTGGACTCTATTCTTATCAAACATGCGTTCTCCAACGATACCAATTTGTTTCCTATCACTAGGACTTCGGAAGAGAGCGATATATTGGGCCTTACGGCTAATATCTGTATTAAATTTTCCCTTGGGAAACATGTTCTGGAGCAAAAGGATAACATTCGCGTTTCTATGACGACCCTGGGTAAATAATCGAGATACAACAGGACTGTCTGTCGCTTCAGCCATCAGATCGTCCAGTATGATGATGTTGTTGTACCGCGTATGAATCTCGCCCATGTTCTCGGACAGCTCGGGCAAACCTCTCTCAAACTGGATGCTTTTTCCGAGGGATTTTCTCAACTGTCGTAACAATCTTGCCAGTGGTTGTAGTACCAAAAAATACAAATACTTTTTTGCTCATCGTGCACGATACGATTGTTTTCCAAAATTTGTTCTAGAAAATACGTTTTTCCACTTTGGTTTGGACCCACGACCAATAGCGAAAATTTATGGCGGATGTTGAATTCCGGATAGGGTTTGGTGGTCAAAGATGCTTGTGCTGTTTTTGGTTTCTTTGGCCCGTTTCAGACGGCGTACTTATCATGTGCCGAACTTAATTGATGAATTAGGTACGGCAGAAGAGCGACGTATGAATCAATTACGTACGGCAGAATTTGGAGCGGCAAAAGTTCGACACAAGTTCGGCAGAGCTTGTCGCATTATGCGACGTTGGAGCGACATTGATTCATACGCCGCTCCACTCATGTGGCAAACTTAACTCAAACTGGGGCAAACTTAACCCGGTACGCCTATGGTACGCCGTTTGAATCACTGCCGTACTTGTGTCGCATCTAATACAATTAAGTTCGGCACATGAAGAGTACGCCGTCTGAAACAGGCCTTAGTTGGCAACGAGTATGCCCTTCGGCTCACACGCTTTTCTCCTGGTTTTCAGAGTTCATGTGCGGAGACTTGTCGATGTTGAGCTGCCATGACGACACCTTGGCTTGCTTAAGATAAGGTTTTCTCTCCATGGATTGTAAGCCGTGAACTTGTTCCGCGCGCCCCCATTAATTTTCGTCTTTTCCTAATTAATTATTTGATAGCAAGCGACTGGGGACGAGGCAGACCAAACCCTATCCGGAATTCAACTTCCGCCATAAATTTTCGCTATTGGTCGTGGGTCCGAGCCAAAGTGGAAAAACGTATTTTGTACAACAAATTTTGGAAAACAATCGTATCGTGTACGATGATCAAAAAAGTATTTGTATTTTTTGGTACTACAACCAGTGGCAAGATTGTTACGACAGTTTGAGAAAATCCTTCGGAAAAAGCACCCAGTTTGAGAGAGGTTTGCCCGAGCTGTCCGAGAACATGAGCGAGATTCATACGCGGTAAAACAACATCATCATACTGGACGATCTGATGGCTGAAGCGACAGACAGTCCTGTGGTATCTCGATTATTTACCCAGGGTCGTCATAGAAACGCGAGTGTTATCCTTTTGCTACAGAACATGTTTCCCAAGGGAAAATTTAATACAGATATTAGCCGAAATGCCCAATATCTCAGTCGCTCTCTTCCAAAGTCCTAGTGATTGGAAACAAATTGTATCGTTGGAGAACGCATGTTTGATAAGAATAGAGTCCACTTTGTGAATGCTTATTACAAAGAGATCGAAAAACCGTTTGGATACTTGGTCGTGGATAACAAACCTGACACACCAGCCGATAAGCAAGTTCTTGGGGACCTATTTGACGACTGCCATGTTCATCTCTTCGCCACCCAAACTAAAGAGAACAATACTAATGTCAAGCCCACACCGAGTCACAAGCCTGGAAGAAAACAACATAAACATCATAGGTATATTACTGACCTGGTCGGATGCAACTATTCCCGAGTGGCAAAACTACACTTTGGGAGCACATGTGGTCAGTAACATCCCCGAAGGATATGTTATCACAGAGATGTTTGAGTCATCGCGCAATAGTTTTGATCCTAGCCATCCGGGTGTCTACATCGGCGGAGAACATTATTGGCCTGTCAAAATAGTGAACCAATCTACGGGTCGTATGAAGTGGGTGAATCTGCACGAAGAACAATAAAGCCAAACGACTCTTTTTAGAAAAAAACATTTTTTTAAATGTTGTGCGTAATTTAAATAAAATCAAACACATTATGCTTTTAGAAGTAGACCATATTAACTTTGTAAACGTCTCGAAGAAATAATATTATATTTATACAGACAAGAATTATTAGCTTTGTAGTATTTAAAGAAATAAATGTGTTTTAAATCTAAATCTTGTGTAAATTTTTGCCCACAAACCCTCGCGCCCGATTTTAAGGCATACAACTGCGTTATAAATAATCCCTATCTATCCATTGGGATACACTTAGTTATGCAGATTTTTGTTCGCCTAATCCCTTAATTACCTACACACCACCTAATGACTTAGCAACACATAGCAACGTATATAACTATCGCATATTTGATAAAAACATATTTATTTTTTATGGCAAAATATATTACAACTGTTCTAAAAGTTTTTTTCCTTCAAGTATTCTTGATAAGCTTTCTTATGATCTGACTCGGTCATCTTAACAGTATATATGTATGTATAGGAGGTTTGCTAAATAATGTTGAACAACATGCAAATATTTACCATAACAACGACGTTGACAACCATGTTAACCTGGGATTAGCAACTGTTTAGTTCTGTTTAAAATATATCTCGATTTTTGTGACGAATAGATTCCTCACTATAATTTTGTAAACATACGAAAAATCCTTCAATATACCTGTGGAATTTTATCCCTTCCGAGCAAAGATACGGCTATAACTCTGCTATATTAATTTCGATAACAGTTTTACCATGTGAGGGACTCGAACTATTCATAATCCCTCTATTGTATCACACACGTGGAGGGATGCTAAAAAATGCTTAGTCAGCAAGTTTCACACGACCTCGTCCAAACTTGCCCGCGTGACGTCATGCATATATTAAATGAACTGCATATAATGTGCGGCCCCCTTAGTTACCGGCAAATATAATGTGCGCCCCCCTTAATTACCTGCATATATAATGAAGCGGCCCCCTGCGGCCCCCTATAAAAAAGGGACGAACGGCCTCTATATTACTACTCACCGCCGAAGTAAATTTGAACGTTGAAAAAAATTTTTAGATGTTACTTTCGACCTGAACAACGCAAACATACCCTGGGTTCCAGAGCCTTCAGAAAGTTTCCCAGATAGGGTTTCCTGTGTAATAAATTGAAACGCGGTGAAGGCTCTGGTTCAACGGGGAGATTCTTTGATTAAACCGCGCCAATCACAACACAAAATTAACGATTTTAGTACAGAATATGTACTAGACACCTGATTGGTGGAGGTTATCTAAACAGAATAATTTACATAAATTACTGAAAAAGATGGCGTCGTCATTGTCAAGCGAAGTGTTTGATAAAATTGTTAAGGAAACTTTACGAGAAAAATTCTCAAATATCGACAGATTAAGCACAGAACAGTATAAAGCGCTATGGAATTATATAAACCGTAAGGACGTGTTTGCTATTCTGCCCACTGGTCACGGAAAATCTCTAATATTTCAGTTAATACCAGAATTATGCAGATGATTAAATTTAATACATCTTCAAGTCTCAAGTGAACCAATATTACTTGTCATATGTCCATTGAATTCTCTAATCGATTCCCGCCTTAAAGACCTAGTGAAATGCAGAATTTCTGCAACATGTTTGTCGAATGATGAACTGGATGAACGTGGTATACTTGCTGGAAAATATTCTATAGTATTTGCCAATCCAGAATCTTTGATTATGAATGCAAAGTGGCATGAGATGCTGAGCACTGAAATTTATCAAAACAACTTGTTTGGAGTAGTGACTGACGAAGCACATGTCATTCCTAAATGGTGAGTGTTGTGCATAACTCTATTTTACCTTCAAAAAGGCACATCCAAATAATGTAGTATCTTTTTACTTTTTTTATTCCAACTTCAGATTTTTACACTCTGTCCAATGACTTCAATGTTACTAACCGTAGTTGCACTAAATGGCTAGTAGGTACTTTTCCAAATATATTGGCTGAGTGGCAGGCAATAAATATTTATTTTCAATGGCTTTCATTGCCCTCCTTGATTTAAAGCAATTGTTTTGTTTGCACTTTAATGAAACTTAGGAAAGTGCTTACAATAATATGTATAAATACTTGGTTACTGTCATTCTATTTTGCATTTTATCCGACACACTGTACAGTCTTTGAGGATACAGACTCGGCCTACACACAGTCAGGGTACTGATGCTATTGATGTACAACTATGAATAAATTTTGACTTTGTGACATTTCTTTGGAAACAATGTTGATTTTGCCATGGTAAATATAAACTGCACTCTAATTTAGTTCATGGGAATAAGATGCCTGGAGGTTTGAACAACCTGATGGAGTTATAAATAAAAGTGGGCAAACAATGTATTTTTTGTTTAGGGGACAGAATGACAAAAAAGAGAAACGTTTGGCATTTAGAGAATGTTTTGGAAGACTTGGAGAACTTCGATCTATCTTACCAGGGGCACCTGTTCTTGCGCTTACTGCAACTGTTACAAAGAAAATTAAGAAGAATGTGACTGAGTCGTTGAGCCTGAAAAAAGATATGGTTTTGATTGATGCTAATCCCAACTGGCCAAACATCTACCTCAGTGTTAAGAAAATATCAAATGACTTGAATTCAAGCTTTCAGTGGTTAGTGGAAAAATTAAAGAAGGAAATGAACACCATGGATAGAGTTTTGATTTACTGTAAGACAATTAAAGATTGCGGTAGAATTTTTACATATTTTAAATGCAAACTTGGAAGTGATGCCTACTACCCAGCAGGTACAGAACAAATTTCAATCAATATGCTTGTGGGCATGTACCACCACTCAACCCTTCAAAAGCATAAGGAGAGAATTATCAACTCTCTCCATGACATGCAAGGAGTTTGTAGAATCATTATTGCCACTAATGCACTAGGGATGGGTGTTAACTTCAGAAACATTCGAACAGTTATCCATTACGGGCCTCCAAGGCAAATGGATGATTTTATTCAAGAGATTGGTAGAGCAGGGTGAGACAACCTGCCAGCTGTGTCCATTCTAATGTACAATGGTATGCTCCTTAGGAAGTGTGATACACAGATGAAATTGTATGCATCTAATATCAAACGGTGTTTGAGAGAAATTCTTCTTGCAGAATTTGAGTCTCTATTTACACCACATGACACACCTCACAATTGCTGTACTGTTTGTCATAAAATAGGTTCTTGTCTTCAGCCTGGACAATGTAGTGTGATTATTGAAACTGACTTGGATTTTCTCATTTCGTCCTCACCAGAAGAGAGATCGAGGGTTGTTACTGCACAACAAAAGCGGTCGCTTAGGGAGTTGTTGCTTGAAATGAAACAGCATATCCAGTTGAATGACAAATCATATTACCTTTCCGCAGACAGTTCCACAGGATTTACTGCGTCACTTATTGATCTTGTTGTCAAGAATTGTAAGTACATTTTTTTTATATTACATCACTACAACATTTCCTGTTTTCAAGAAAGATCATGCTGTTCAAATTTTGCACATATTCAAAGATGTGTTTGATGACATTGACATTCCTGAAATAGATACATATGGGAGTGAAGCAGATGGTGAATTACTAACTATGTATAATTTGGAATATGGTGGAGAATACATTCAAGATACAGAGAAACTAAGTGATTATACAAGTGACATTGATGTTACTGACCTGTCAGTGATGTCTGATATTGATGAATAATTGTGTTATAATGCATATTCCAAGCATTGAACTAAGCTAAAGTTGTTACAGTATTGAACATGATGAACATTATTAAACAAACCGTGGGACTGAAGGAATGGACCATTTGCATTAGACTAAATTTTGATCTAGACAACAATTTCATCACAGAATTAGTACTATTCCAAAGTTTCGTTGCAAAATGTTGTAAAATGCGGATAATATAGCCATGCGAAGTTTGCCGTTTTTCAGTCATTTTGTATTACGCACGGGAAATTGACAGCCTAATCGGGTGTTGGGGCATCAATTTCCCGTTTGTAATACAAAATGACTGAAAATTGCAAACTTCACAAGGCTATATTATCCACATTTTACAACATTTCGCAATGAAACTTTGGAATATTACTAATTTTGTGATGCTCTTTCAAGCTGTGATGAAATTTTTGTCTAGACCAAAATTTAGTCTATAATGCAAATGGTCCATTGGTATTCCACTCTAGCCTGTACTGGTTCACCAGCTATTTGTCTAATCGATATCAAATGGTATGTATAATTTCAATTTTGTCAGACCCCTTGCCGGTACTATGCTCACAAAATGAAATACAATAAACTATTGGCACAGAATACTAAACAGAAGGCAATCTCCATAGTTTTTTGCGTAAGCGCTATTCATCATGATCAAGGGTGGGTTGACCACAAAATTTTTGTAGTTCACTATAACTACAGTTACTTCAAAAATATGTAGTCAGCTACAACTACTGCTACTTTTGAACAAAGGTAGTTTGCTACTGACTACAGCTACTGCTTAAAAATTGTAGAGAACTATTTCGCTACACTATATTTTTTAGTTTTACTATATCTGGAGCATCCACTAACTCAGGCAGTAATGTAATCTGTAACAAATCGACTTACGAGTCGCAACAGTAAACACAAAGCAACATTTTTGTAAGCACTTCAGTGTTCAGGAGTGCAATTGAGTATTGATTTTAAACAAACCGTGTCTCAATATCATGCTATTCTATCAAGTTGCTAACAATTTTAAAAAGTAGCAAATAGCGATTCTCTGTTTGAAAAGTAGTCAATTACTTGGCTACTTTTAGCAAAATGTAGTTCGCTATAACTACAACTACTGTTTTAAAAAAGTAGTCAAAAACTACTGGCTACTTGAAAATTGTAGTTCGCTACAGTAGCGAACTACAACTACTTCGCTACAACCCACCCTTGATCATGATACTCATCAAGTACCCTAAACAGAAGTAGTCACCCCCTGGAAATATCCAAAATGGCAGTGTGTGGGAGAAAACCATGGATATTTCCAGGGGGTGACTGCTGTACTTCTGTTTAGGGTACTTGATGAGTGACAAATAATGATGAATAGCGCATAGTCCTCAGTGTTAAAAATTGTGTGACGTAAACACTTCCAAGGTCTATTCAAAATGTCCTGGTTTAAAACTCATGGAATTGCATTTCTCATACTGCTAAACAAGTCTTTTCAAAAACATAAGCTTTAAATTCATTATAAATTCAAGACATTTGACATAGAAAATTACCACTTCTGACTTATCATGACATAACTATTTAATGTATTATTACCTGAATATTTTAATTACAGATACAGTAGGATAAAAATGTAATCTATCTAATCATTTGATAACCAATTGCTGATTCAACACTATGGCCAATACACATTTCTCATTTGATCGACAATGTCGTTGAATACTATTGCACTCTTATCAAAAATAGTGTGCGCCTTTGATTTTCATATGTGTTTAAATGCGTTAACATATTGGGACAGAAAATACAACATTCTTACATACTATTGGCTTATTATTAACTTACTAATGTATGAACTACCACCGTATGCAGATAACATGCATATACATGTATAAATTTCAGTTCCCTTACTTAGCAGTTCATTTGTTAGAAAGTAATTTCTTTTGTTCTGTTATCCACTTATATACATAATTTAATTTTTTTAGCACATTTCCTTGAAAATTTTGGAAAATGTTGGTATTGTCTTTCTGAATTACCTGGATCACATGTAAACACTTTTGCTCTTTCATGTAATTGCCTTGCAATAATTGCAAAGTCTTTGTCTCTCTTTGCTACTTTGTGGTGTCCAGAAGGCTTTGTGATTGACAGACTTTTGTCAAGGCTCTGTATGATCTCATCAACATTCCGTACAGCTTTTGAACTTCAGTTTGCTGAATTCTCTGTTATATTGGCACCCAGATTTTTCAACAATTCCTTTGTAAAGTTGTTCACTTGCTCCAACTTCAAATCAAGAGATATGTTTTTCCCTCTGCCTCCTTGGTTATTGACTGTTCTGTTCCACATAAGTTGGTGGGCTTCTCATGGAGTGAGTAATGCAAGTATATTTGCTTGCATTTGGAAGGCAGCAAGCGCATTTATAAAGAAAAATTCTTAGAAATTTCGAGTAATTCTAAAAGGGAACCGTTTCGAACATGTTTCGAATGACACATATACTCAGTGTAAAATCTCACTGAAGTGGAAATTCTAAATCATTGCAGTAGAAAGTTCTTTGAATTGCCATTCAGTAGTAAAATGAAGGCCATGGTTTTGCCATATAGTTGGTATATTTAACACGGCCTAGTACCGAAAAATTCCAATATATCGGAAGTTTCGGTACATCGGTACGGTTGAATATCCGGTATCGATATACCGATATTGATTTAATACCGATATTTTCTGTATATCAGTATACCGAACAGTCCTAGGCTGCTCATGTTTTAACTAGTAGTAGTACATAATTTGAAAATTTAAAGCAACCTGGCTTGTTTAGGATTTTTTATCAGTGGCACAATTTCCATTCTGTGTATGTCAGTGGTTGAAAACGATTAGGTCCGGTTTTTTTTCCAAATTGTTATCAGGTCATGGTCATGACAATTTATGAACAATCACAACAAGGGACTGTTCATATGGAGCGGGGCTGGCCTGGTTAACTGCATGAGATGATTCCATTAATAAAGCTCTCACCATCCAGGGTACTCTTATCAGAGCTTTGATAAACATCCAAACATTTCAAACTTTAATTAGCTTAGTTTGATTCCTGTAACAGTATAAAGATCATTCAAACGATCTTTTACGGTCAGGAAACTTAATTCATTCCAGGGCATAAAAGTCCTGGGAGAACGGGGAGAAACGCATCCACCTTAGTTTTACACATTTGTTATTAAGATAGACCAGATTGCTGATTCGTAAATATATAGTCCCATTATTCTAGGGTGGAGAAAACTTCTGGCAACCAGGGTAAATGAATGAGGAATGAAAAAATAATGGTGTGTGATGGGAATGATCGAGGTTAAACTCATAGATGGTTAAACTCCTTAGTCCAGTGATCTATATATACATATATACGCAAATTATAGCTTTCACGATTGCATGGGTACGAGTCAGTACGAATTGCACACGCACGCCTATTTTATGCATAGATTTTATGGTGTATTTTGAAAAGAAATATATACTAGAATATCACATTCTTGATTACAATGTCTAAAATATTCTGCATTCCAACATTTTCCAAAAGCCCCAAATTTGTTTAATGCAAAAATTAAACATTTTGATTGAGATTGCACATATAGTACATGTTTTAGCTGCACAAAAAATTAAGTAACTGATAAATGGTTATAAATATAATTTTAATTTAAATAATCGTACCCTGCCTTGCTTTCTGTCTCTGCCCATGTGTCTTAAATTAAATACATACACGATAGTTTATATAATATACAGATTTAGATCAAGGACGCGGACATCAAAGACGATGTGAGAATGGCGTAAAAAATGGCGTGGCATATCCATACATGGGGACAACACGCCAATTTCACATCGTCTTTGACTCCACGTCACAGAATACTACACAAAAGTCCATCTCCATTGTTTTTACCGCAAACTCTATTCGTCATGATTCGTCACTCAGTCACCTCCCTGGAAATACTAAAAATGGTGCACGTCCAGGGAGGTGACTGCTTCTGTTTACGGTACTTGCTGTATCATGATGAATAGAGCTTACGCTAAAAACAATGGAGATGGACTTCTGTGTAGTATTCTGTGTCCGCGTCCTCGGAGTGAGCTTAAGCAAGTGACGTTATTGACAACACGAATGTCAAGAGTAACGTCAGAAGACTGGGTGAACAGCTGTGATTGGTGGAAAACGTCAATTTTACTTTTGGTCTACGTCTGTGTTGTCAAAAACGTCACTTGCTTAAGCTCCCTTTTACGCTTTCCAAAAGTCTCGCACTGATCCCTTGCGCGGCGGGGGGGGGGGGGGGGGGGGGAAAGCCTTGTGCATGGATCACGCTACCCTGAGTGCCAGAGGTTTCAGGTTTTTAAAGGTCTTGAGACAACATTTTTAGCTAGGAAACTTTCCGAAGGCTCTGGAACCCAAGGGTAGGTATTCCCCAATCTCGTTCCCTGAGCCTGCGATCCTCAGGAAGGAACGCAAGGCTCTGGGATAATCCGTTGCCGGAAGCCAGGAATCCTGGCTAAGATTGAACAAAAATGAACTACACATTCCGTTTCAACGGCCAATCAGATTCCTCCCTGAAATGGATTATCCCAAATATAAGGATCGCAGGCTCGGGGAAAGAGATTGGGTATTCCCCTGGTATTCCCTTACTGATTGACGTGGCTCTCCATTCCCATGACTCCCTGCATGCTCACCTTACTTTTAGAGGAACCTTCATGCACTTAATATGATAATAGTTTAATTAATGCTTATATATGAACCTTGCAAATTGAAATTGTGGAATGGATGAATGGCACATCAAATGTTAAAATATACAGACTACTGTACAGTATTACAAAATGTGATTACCTGATAGATAAGTTGTCCACAATGCCAGTCCTCTACCTTAGGAATGAATCCTTTTAGCTGTTCAAACATATCATCACCATCACTTCTCGCTAATACTGAATTCCGTGCCCTTTCATCTGTTAGTTGATCGCCACCGAAAAAACATCTTTCAAGGACGGACGGTTGTACCAGATATATTTCCATGTTGCACAACTGGGAGATAGTTATTATGAAGGTCAGTCAGTATACCGATCATATCATCTGTCTTGTTCTCATTCTTAAACAACAACCCCAAAGGAACCTTCAATGAGAAGAGCAACATATTAGGCCAGTTTTCTTTATAGTATGCATATATATATAACCCCAGTTTGTCATATAATCAAGTGCTGTGAAGCATACAGCAACAAATAATATATAAAATTATTAATAATATAATCAATTGTATAAATACGTACCACTTAGTTTTCATTGTTGAATACAACTTTACTGATATTATAGTGTTATATATACTCAATAAAATCATGCATTATTATGATTGTAGAATATGTTACTGTAATTTGTAGGTATTTAGAGAGAGGATTTAAAAAGAGGGGGATAATGTTTACAGGGCTTGAAATAACAGCCGATAATCAATGATCGGCAAGAATTTGCACGCTTATGATCGGAGGAAAAGCTTGGTTTCCAACCTGAAAAAGCAGGGAAAGTTATGACTGCCAAGCACCATGATCGGGAACTTCGGGAACGTTATTTCAAGCCCTGTATTTATATGACAAATCATATAATTTTGATTATAAAACAAATTGGTGTAAATAAATTCAATATATCTAATCAAAAGACATGTGTTTTTGTAGAAACAAGGTGGGGTGTATTAAATGTGATGGGAGCTCGAGCTTTAATACAGAAATTAATTGATGTAAATACAGTCACACACTTAATACACTATATGCACTCATTAGTTCTCAAATTAATTGTTAATTTATTATATCAGGACTTATCACATTATATAATAATACTGCAATTATTGGTGCCATCACTTTACACTTGATAATTCTCTGGCATTAAGAGTAACATAACAAATAAGGCCTTAATGGGACTTAATAATAATTAATAATAAAGTAGGACACAGCAGGATGCAATGAAACATAATAGGTTGACTAGATGCTTTAGGTTATAACCAATTGAGTGCCAGCGCTTACTCCCCCTGACAACTCAATTTGACAAGCAAATTAATTCAACCTCAAACCCAGACTTTATAATAAGGTACACAATCACTAGTTGTCTAAAGGCAATCATAAGACTACACTACTGCAGTAAAAACTGTCAGGTCAATTAGCCTTTCTCACAAAGGCCAACATCCACCATTTTTGGAGTTTTGTCTGCTCTTAAGCTCGTGAAAGATTCCAGACCATCAAACAAAAAGTGACTTTCAAAAGTTGTAACTGTAAATTTACCATTATACAAACTTGTGAGAGACAGCACCCCTAAATGGCAGAAACATTGGCTGTGAGAAAATTAGGCTATTAGGTCTATTAGCAAATCTGCTTTCGTCAGGCAACTTTACTTGTCAAGGAGAGAGGTTTAAATTTATTTAAAATTATATGTTATAGTGTTATTAAAACTAATTTCTAATAGAAAATAGTTTTCATAACACCATAACATATAATTTTAAAACCCTTTTTTTCTTGTGTGGTAATTTAAACCATTCTTCTCAAAAATTAACCATAAAACAGCCTGAAAACCCCCTGGCAACTTGGGTAGATAATCTGTACCACCCTAGCTGCTAAATAATCAACTGATCGATCATCTCAAAATTGCTATAATTAATTGTTGAACTCTCAATGAAAGGGTCAACCCCATTGAACCAACCCATATTACAGTAATTGATTTATATAATGTACCAGATAATTGAAAGTGTTAAAATTAACCCTCTAAACATTGTTATTATATTCTAGACTGTCTTGCACAAGACAATTTTATTTGTCAAGGGGACAGTCTTGCACATTAATGGGTTAATTAATCTACTAGTGCTGTGTCACTTATTAATTGCTTATTTAACTTAATTTAATGGGTTAAAATATATGGAGGTAATGTACATAACATGTGCACAGAACATGTGTACATTTACATGTACTAATTACATTTTGGTGCTCAGAAGTGTATAAAGACTGCTCGGACTTCTCATTCATTACATCACTATACATATGTGGAATGTGTTTCACAACTGCACCACTAAAGACTTTTGACAATGCTGGAATATTAAAAACAATGGATCTGGCAAACAATGGGATGAGTTCATGCATCAAGTCTTGGTTGTCTTTGAGTGAAGGCAAAAAAGTTACATTCTCAATGTCAACTATCGATTTTGTTTGCATTTTGTCAGATAGGTGGTTCCCATTTACTTTATTCCTCACTGCATTCATATTGAACCAGTGTATTCTTTGATTCTGATTGTATCTTGACATATGTTTTGCCTTCACTACCAAATCAACATTATCACCAGTTATCTGGAAACCGGGGGCTCTTTGTAATTTGTACTTTTGAAGTAGATCTGAATATATCTCTTCCTTTGTTTCTCCATTATTATGTCTGCTGTTAGCATCGTCCATGACAGCAGACAATACATCTTCATCATAAACACCATCGCCAACCTTTTTCTTAATTGATGTGGCAACATCATATTCATCATCACTTGATTTCACAACTTCATATGCAGCTTCTGCAATAATAACTTTTTTACTTGTCTCCTCCACATGAGATTTCCACTTCAATACATCAACATCAAAATCTTTTCCCAACTTTTCAATCATTGTCAAAGTACTTACATGACCCATACAAAAACCCATTTGTGATCCTCTTGCATATACCTATAATTATAATTATAATTGGGCATGTTTTCTCAGACAGGAGGAGCCTATGGGGCATGGATCAGTAATTTTATGAAGCATCTGGTTCCCAGCTAATGATAAGGAATGAGAGATTGGACTGTTAGAAATTTGGAAGGAGGCATTAGACAGTGTTAAAGGTTAAACAAAATTTTCCGGACTATCATATGTAAAAAAAAAAATCCATAAAAATTTTTCACATCATGGTCACCTATAAAAAGGGGTCCAAATTTCACAATTTTACCAATTCTTGCTACTGGGGGTGGCTGGCCCATTGCAAATTTTCTGGCCCTCTATAACTGAGGCTCGGACCAAATTTTGCACAATTAATGTAACAAGAAAAATTTTATGGTCTAAGTTTTGTCAGAGGCCCCCCGCCACTGAGCACTCAATCACGCCTCAGTTATACCACTGGTAATGGAAAGTACAGAATATCATGCCATCAGAAGGCTTTTTGGTCAGGTTATAAAATATTAGTGTCCCCACTTGATAAAATATTTCTTCTGTTTATTTTAACAAAACACTGAACACAAAGCGTTTTCAACACACCAGTGCACCACTGCAAACTTAGGTTTTCTACACTCAACATTTTCGTTTCGTTCGTTTCATCAGCATTTCAAATGTATCTTTTGAAAGTAGCACTGAAAATATTGTTACTTTATTACTTATTAATAATTAATAGAGTAACATGAAATTGACATGTAATTGAAGTACATAAACATCGTAAGTGATTTTCCAGACGTATGTTCAAAAGCATAAACTTTTTTCACTTGTGATTAGAATACAAATAGAGTGGAATGTATGTGGGAATTTACCCTTCAAAAGTATTTAATGCTTTGAAATGGTTAAACTGAAAATACAGTATTCAAACCTGAATAGTAGCAATTAATGAATAAATTTAACACGATCAACTTCAAACTTCATGAATATTAAAGTTTCTATTATTAAAGTATTAAGTAATAACTTTGAAAAAGTAGTTTTCACTCCACCATGCCACAACATTGTCGACATTCGGTAAGCAATAGCAGACATTGCGCTGCATCTTTTGCGTAGCAATAATGAGGCTGCCAAACAAACAGTGGCTATGTAGCTGTCATTTATCGTACTTTTTGTGTCATCTTTCTTTATCCCTGTTCTTGGCTTTAGTGCTTATTACTGTCTCTTTCAAAACACTATGCAAGATGGGCGACCTTTCTTTGAACTCTCTATCAAAAGCACGAGCCTGAAATTCAACGATGTCGGACGGAGAGATATGGCGAAGCAACGACGGATTTTTACTCGAACAAAGATTAGAACACTCCGCTTGAATTCTTTAACATTTTCTGCAAAAGCAGATTTCGTATGACGGTTCTATCCCATAGCAAGTTCGCAACATATTGATAGTTGCCACACGCAAGTTGTTTCACTATCTTTTTGTCATATTCATCTGACAATACTTGCTTAACTCTTTCTCGCCACAGGCCATATCGCGTCGATCCTGAGCGATCGACGGCTATAAAATTTTATACCTTCGGTTCAGTGCATGCTATGAAGACAGAAATACCACCAATCGATTCAGAAATAAAAGATAGACTAGTTCCAAACGATAGTTATAGTCATTATTAACATTGTAACGATTTATGGGCCTTTGAAAGTCAAACACGATAATATTGTATCAAATTACGCAATTGTCTGAACAAAATATAGACTAGCCATACCTTTCGCTGAAAATAACTTCGGCCCCTTCGCACATATCGTCTTTGTTATAGTCTTGTTCGAATCCCCATCAAAAACACTATTTAGAGTGTTATTTGCAAGCCTGTATCTTCAAATCTGTATCTTTTATCAATATATTTCCATTTCTTGTCCGACTGTGAGCTCGAAGTGAGTTAATCCCAACCGGAAATACGTCTGAAAACCGTCAAAACAATGCGACGTTTGTATCATATGACCCTGGAAAGGCCAGAAATGGATTCGCAAGGTCAAATTGCACCTACACGCGTGAGTTTGACGTCATACCGGCCAACAAGAGCTTCTTATTGGCCAATTATTGCGCAATGTTCGCAAGTGCGAGTAAAACGTACTAAAACCCGATACCTTGAAAAATTCAAAATAAATATTTCTAGTCGGCGTATACATACCAAACTTTCTACACGAAAGCGCTTGGATACAAAGAGTATTTTACACATATAGCCGTTCAGAAAATGACGAAAAGTTCAAGAGATATTCAAGATCTTGTAGATATAAAATCTAGAATCTTTGGCCAAGCGGTGAGTAAATATATGATTGTTTCGGTTTGTGTAATGCTCTGATGGCACTTGACCCCCCGTTCGAAAGGTTATTTTATTAGGATTTCAATGGTGGCTTTTATTTACAAGGGGGGTAAATACTCGCCGAGATATTTATATTAGAAAAATTGTGTCGTAATCTGATGCGAAAGGGGGTGGTCGAAAAAGAGTTAAATCGGGTACACTTGCCTGAGTCATGAGTCACGTTTTATAATTAGAAACGTTTACTGTTTGGAACTTTAATTTAATAGTTCTTTTGTGTCATATATTTTTAATTCTTTTGTGTTGCTTCGGTATTTACATTTACATGTAAAAATATGCAATCTTTTCAGAAATAAAGAGGACCGGATTTGAAAAAGTTCTCGATTACGCAAAAAGAAAAAATCCGTCCAATAAAGAAATAAAAAATGATTTATAATAAGTAGCCAACTATTATAAAATGAATTGCATTTTACTTTAATTACCTCAACTTTAGTCTCATCATTAGGAAAAAGAGAACAATCAACATTTGTAATCTCGGGCATAGACGTTTCATTTTCCTTCGCAACATCAACCAACTGAGCCATTAGTGTTCTTTTCGCTGACTTCTGTTGTACAAGACTAGTGGACTGCACAAGAGGATTGTTTGTACAAACATGCTTGATACCAGAAGAGGGCAACGAATTACACCTCTTATGCCGCACTGCGTTTATAGCTTGTTGGACAAATTTTAATTTTGTTCTTGCATACGTCTTTTTTAGTTCATCCGCGTTACACATTGCTCTTTTCGTATTTCTCTAAGTCCCGAACACATTTGTTGCAAACACATTCCGATTTTCCAATATCATTGATGATTTCATCACAAAGAAATTTAGAGAAGTGTTCATTCAAACGTTCTTTATTCGATTTTTTCCGAGAAACATATTTAAGAGTCAATGTCAGTAAAAATCGAATATATGAGATATTTCGCGGCCACGACTGAAAAATCGATTTTGCTCAAATTTTGCCCAGATATACCTTATTATATCGGAAAATGCAACATATAATTTTTTAGGTTAAATGCTTTTTTAACTTTGAGAAAATGCCGTTTTAACACGACCACCCTAAATCGCCATTTTGTCTGGGAAAATATGCACTGATTTTACCGACAAATTTCACAACGACAACCGTTTCTAATCGATCTAAAACCCCAAAAATCTTGTTTTCGGTTATTCAAAGGACCGGGTATGTGACTTACAGGAAATCTAAGTTACTTTTAGGAATAGAAATAATCGTAGTTTTGGAGCACACTATCTTACTTCATTTACGATACCCTCTTAACAAAACCGATTTTCACCATGGGATAAAGCACCAAATCGATCATGCTTCTACTTGTTCGCTCTTTAATAAACAAGCTTTCAATTGACGCAAATATATCTTTGGGCAAATGAATACGCGATAAACGACAGGGCGTTGAAATTGTCCGTTTTTGAAGTCTTGCAAGTCAAACGCTGTTAATTTACATACCGTCGAAGTAAACAATTATATTTGTAAAATATCATCATATACAGGTATTTTGAGATATAATATTGTTGTCAGTTGCATGATAACTTCAGATCACTGTTCAATATTGTCTACTTTTAAATTAGTGCTAAGCATACAAATCGATGAGCTGTTTAGGGATTATATTTGTTACTAAATTTCCCCAAATTAGAACTTCAATTGTTGTTTTGTTCCAGTTTGATCCATATAATGTACCATTTACATATCGACTATCGAGTATAAATGTTTACGAATACATAAGTTAATTATTAAGCAGCTGTTAATAGCGTGTGTGTGAAATGAACATTTATCCATACAAGGATTTGTTATTTATTATATATTCTACCACCTCAAACTCAAATTATAGCAAATAGTTTAGAATAATTATTTTAATGTGTGTTCATTTTGATGCACAGTTAAAATAATCAGTAAAATTACTTTATTTTGATACACTATTGTCTACTGATCTTATTATATTCCACAAGTACTATAGTACCCAAAAATACAGCATTGAGATATGTCAGCCCAGTGCGACACCAGAAAGTATTATTGTCACCCCACACGTCGCGTTTAAGGGGCCGATTACATGGGTGAGTTGTCCCGGCTAAGCGAGTTGACTTGCTTTGCCGAGTTGACCTGCTTCCTATATATATTGTCTATTATTTTGACATTTCGATTACATGCAAAGCGAGTTGTCCCGCCTTGCCGGGACCGCGGCTCTAGCTTGCCGAGACGTCAACTCGCTTAGCCGGGACAGAAATTGCCTACACATCCCATGTAATCGCTTTTTGCCGAGTTGGCGCGGCAAAGCTGGCTGAAAACCACACTTATGCATGTTTTACTTTCGATTATATGTACAAATATAAGTTAAAAAAACTTCAAATAACATCAAAATGATATTAATGAACGTGTTCAAGGTTTAGATAGGAAGCGACACAATTTTGTTAGAATACAAACAGTATAAGCCTAAATCAGCGCTAAATATAAATACCTCAACCAACAACATTCAGTGGGTAAAGTAGTCCTCAAATACAACAAATACACCATTTTAAATCGATTTCTAACACCGAGTGTTAAATTGTTAAGCATTACAAATCTTAATGAGCTACTTCAGCCCGGCTAGCCGGGTTAGCGCGGTGCATGCATGTAATCACAATCAAAAAGTCAACTCGCTTAGCCGGGACAACTCAGCAAAGTGGGACAACTCGGCCCATGTAATCAGCCCCGAAAGAAAATGGAAGCTTGTTGCTCCTTTAACGCCGGATTAACCAAGTGTCAGATGCGGCAAATCCGCTGGCCTCGCGCTTATGGGGGCCTCGCGCTTTACTGTGCCACGCCCATTTTTACGAGAACACAATCTCGTTCCCAGAGTATGCCTGTTCGCGGGTTAGGCCACAACCTAACCCGCGAACAGGCATACTCTGGGAACGAGATTGACGAGAACACGGCCATTTTCTATTGGGACACGCCCATTTTAGGTGCCTCGCAAATTTAGGGAACTCGCGCATTTAGGGCCCCTAGGCTTGGCAGTTGGCCCCAGCACGGCCCCGGGAAAATATGCAAAACTAGCTCGTGTGCATATAATCTGCAGTTGCGTTGAGCTGTTATATTATGATCCTGTTTATACATGTTGACCCGGCCAACAACTGAGCCAGGCAGGCGATTGTCTCGTTTAAAATTGATGCCAATAAATTGAAATATTGAAAACAATTATTTAACAATTTTGTGTCTTTAAATTCAAAGGTTTTCATAACAAAGGGGAGGGGGGAGGGGGTTGGGGCCTCGCGCTAAAATCTGTTATGGGACTCGCACGGCGTTAATCCGGCCCTGGTCACTTGTCAGTAGTTCTTGTGGTTTTAATGCCAATTGCCAAAGATCGAAAGAGAGCACCGATGACTCCCACCGTCGGAGAATTACTGGCGCAGCCCAGGCCAACTCGGGCAAATTATACCTTTGGGGGCCCGGTGAACCACAATTATCCCCCCCCCCCCTCTGTCGACAAACTTTTTATGCCCTTGCAAATTTGTATTTGCCCGCCGTCGTTGAGCTGGGAGCGCGGGGAAAATTGCTCCCTTTGCCCCCCCCCTGCATGGGCGGCCCTGGCGCCGCCCCTGTCTTATCATAACTATCTACCTCCAATAGGACTTAGAAATGGTGATTAAATTATTTACTACGGTATGTTATTTAATAACGAGCAAGGGTTAGGGTAAGGATTAGGGTTAAGAGGAGGAAGAGATTCTTTGGAGCCGGTTTTCAGGAGAAGATAACGTCGAAAACTGGTAAGTTTTTTATATTTGTTCTTGAACATGTAGGTAGCCATGGGGACATACGTACAGACTGTATGCTTGACTGCATGGGACACATGTGTATTGATATTTTCGCTCAGCAACAAAGTTATTGTCATATTTTCAGTTTTTCACTCTCTCTGCTTGTGTTGTTTAATAGGTGTAAGTGTTCCAATTGCTCGTTAGAGTTTGTGGCGAAATATGATGAATGTAGATGCTGTATGGAAATCGAGCAATGCAAAACAAGGATGGAAGAGGCTGAAATTCCTGAACAATGTGTGACAGTGCATCCTGGCTTTGCGGACATTTGTTTAAAACGCTGGGTGTTAAGAGTTGCTGGTATAGGCTTTAAAACCAAGAAAAAGAAATCATATACTGTCATGTTCATTCAAGGTGATACAGCAGAGCATGAGTAAGTTGAATTAATGGGATTAATATTTTAATAAATCTGAACATCATATAACAAAATATACACACACTCTCAAATTACAAAGTATAAACTGAGTGGTTACTAACTTTTCTCTCTAGATTCTTGAGAGCTGTTGCTTACAGGCAATTTGTTAGAATGATTTGGAAGTATGTAGGGGCATCTACAAGAATTCCTTTGCCGTGTTGTGTCTATAACAGTATCCGAAGAACATACCCAACTGAAACAGAGGACTATCATGGCTATGAAGAAGATGACTAGTATATTTGAAACATATCAAATAATATTTGGTGTTTTATGGTATGTTCCTAGCAAAAGTGCAAACAAAATAACATGTATATGTGGTTGTACTGAGATTAACGTTTAATGTGGTTTAAATGAGCTACGAGTCATTGTATGGATTTAAGGATTTTTAAGGATTTCATTGTATTGTAGTATAGTTGTAATTATAATCCTAAAACCTAATCCTTACACAATGACCTCATTGGCTACTGTATAATATGTGAGGGACAGGTGACAACTCATAAAGTTGTCATTGACCACGAGCGTGTTATCCTTTGGGAGAAGGAACGAAGAGCTCTGGGATAATCCATAACTGGAAACTTGTCCAGAATTGTGACAATTGAATATTAAATTCGACATTGTATTCGGTTATGGATTATCCCAGAGCTATTCATTCCTTCCCCCCAAAGGATAACAGGCTCGGGGAACGAGATTGATTGACTCATACAACAGGCATCTTTGGTTGTACTGGGTCTTGCACATTACAACGCACTTATTGGACTGCTACATTGCCCTTTTTTGTGCCCTTTTCGTGGCTTGCCACACTTTCTGCACATGGGTGCTTTTCTTTTGCAAGTGGCAGTGGGTGGATGCAATATATCTTGAAGTTCTGCATCTGTAAAAAATAAAATGCATATCACATACAGATCCAGTGAATATTTTCTTTACAGGGTGTGCAGTCTTCTATCTCCACAAAAAAATACTAAAAATGCCATAGATTATGAAAATCTGGCATACACTGATTAAAGCTGAGACGTGTGCACCCCTCCAAATATATGCTGATCTGTATTTATAGAGCAAATCCCCTTTGCTAATTCTACAGTAAACTGTGGTGTCAGTGTCAGCCACAGATAGATATAATACAGGCTAGAGGTTGTAACACATGTGCCTAGAAGGTAGATAAAATCTGGACGTTTTGAGCGAAAGCCCTTTGTCAGGAGACATTGGTGAACAGATAACTTTACAACCTCTAGCCTTTATAATTCTACAGTTATATGGGGTGGTGTGCAAATTTGATTGTAAATACACACCAGAACAAGTTGGAGGGCATACAACTGTCACTTTGGTCTTTCTGGACTTGTATTTATTCTTTGCTTCTTCCTTGTTCTCCTTCTCTGGTAACATATTGTGTAGGGCTTCTGGTGTATCTTTCTTCAGCTTATCCTCTATAGTTTTTAACTCTTTCTTCGGCGTAGTAGTCACTCATGGTCTTGTATATTTCAGCCACATAATCTGAAAAAAAAATGCAACTGTATTTGTTAACAGGTGCAAGGGTTTTAGGTTTTGCCCATAGCATTTTACAGTACATTAAGCAGTTCCAAACCCTGTGAAATTGATCCAAAGATGGAGAAAATGCTAAATAATGAAAATGGCATCTTTCAAGAAGAAATATTAAGTTTTAAACACCGTTGTATAAAAGAACTTACCATAATTTGACACCACTTTCACCTCTCTAACTGTAGCCTCTCCCTCTTTGAATTTGGGGTAGGTGGCCTTAAGCTTGACATTTCCATGCATATCAACTTTAGATTGTCGACGAAGGTTGTAATTGAAGTGGGTAGCAGCAAGTATAGTTCTAAAATTATATATTACCCATTTAAATTTTTTGGCCTAATTTAAGTGCCATTAAAACAAAAAAAACCCTAGCTGATTGTTAAAACTATAACTGTGTAATCACTGACCTGCATAAAATGCCTGTGTGAGAGTATGCCAGCATCTTTGGGGCGAACTGGTTAACAACAGAGTGATAACCTTCCAAACAGCTGGTCTGTGCTATAGGCGATGCATTTTTTATACCATTTAATAAGGAAGTTTTACTGAGGTTTGCAACCAACTTCTCATATTCATCTGATCCTGTGAAAAAGCAAGATGTGTGCATAATGTAAATAAAATGCAAGATGTGCATCATACTCATCAAGGCAAGACCTTTGTGCTTTAATGAATATTAAAGCACAATGATCTTCACTTGATGAGAAAAATAATTGTCAGGCATTATACAGAGAGTAGATTTAGAATACCTTTTGTTAACCAAACACGCTGGGTAGTACTTGGACCATGAGCACATTTATTGAAGATCTTGTTAGGCAAGTCATGATGAATGTTAAGGACATGGTAAAAAAAAGCCTTGAATTTGGCAACTATAACATCACGATGACCACAGACTTTCAGTGCTGTTGAGGTTACAGACCAATAACAGTGCCTTATACAAGCCTTCTTCCATCTGCCAATTACCTCGCAACCATTCTCTTTGCTAAGTTTTGTTAATACCTTTCTGATTTCTAGTGTTTTGTAAATATAAAGTACAAGGTGTATATATAATCATTATGAAGACTGTTATTGACCCTAACCCATTTTTGCCCAAGATGGCCATTAACATCAGAGAATTACATTTGGGCAGAGAAAAGGGGTGGGATTGACCTATGCAGGAATGTCAAAGGTGAATGGCACACCACTTGTATTGGTTAAAAGAGCTAGTTAATTAAATAATGTATTTTAACCAATTACCTAACCACAATAACAAACAAGACTTTCCCTTAGACAAGTAAAGTTGTATAGGATCTGAGTCTGACAGCGGTCAGACTACATGGCTAAAAACGCACAGGTTGTTCCAAGTTGATATCGACAGGCGTGAACAATGTTGTGCGGCCAACTATGAACAAGTTGTCAACCGTGTTGTTCCTAGTTGTTACAGTTGAACAATGCTGTAACATGTTGACAATACTGTTCATAGTGGGCCGCACATTGCACAACCTTGTTCACACCTGTTGATATCAACCTGGAACAAGTTGTCGATTTTCTCAATTTTTACGCATGTAACATTATATAATGAGGCACATTGTATCTTACAGCTATGGTTTAACATGTCACTTACTTTTGCCAATGTGCCATAGATCAAAATAGTGTTCAATAATAGGTTTTTGTAGCTCTTTACATTTCTTAGGACAATCCTCTCTCATCCATTTTGTTATGGCCAGATGTCGGTCAGAAATAAATGCCTTAATAATCAAACCAGTACCAAGCAGGAAAGCCAATATGCCTTCTGATGTCCCAAAAACTCCATATTGTTACTATTACCCACTTGATTTGCCTGATAAAAAATCCAAATAAAATAAAAGCCTATGAAGGTTTCTTTAGACTCCTAGCCCAATTATAGTTGTAGCTTTAATACTTTTATATAAAAATCTTTATATAGTTTGCATAACAATGGTCTTTTGTTAAAGTGTTCTTTAGCTGTTATAAAGACGTATGCACGTGACTAATTTCTTACTCAAGATTGGATAATTGCTTCACGAGTTATTAATGCGTTTTTGAAGTAAATATAATTACCATAATGATTGGGCGAAATAAATAAATAAATAAAATTTTACTTCTTGGAAGGACCGAAAGGTCAACATATTAACCAACCTGCATGTACAAGAACAATATGGATTATAAGTGGAACTTTTCCATTACCTGTACAATAACAATATGGATTATAAGTCCAACGGTGCAACAAAATATGGTGTAATCACCATATTTTGCCGAGTGACCCATGCTGTCGTGTCTGGCGTCACCCGCAAGTACAACATCCTTTCTGTTCAATGATTTTAAGATATTGTCCTGGTATGTTTGCCAAAACTTCACAATAGTTGGAAACAGAAGATGCCTCTGGTGATAATAGTAGGTAGCTTCACTGTAGCAAAGTAGTCCCATATGCTTGAAAACCAGGATGATTTTACCAACAGATGCCCCAGCAGAGAGTATGGCAAAACTCAAAAGAATATTACCGGCATGGAACTTTCCTAACATATAAGGCTGACTTTTCCAAATATGAGTGCCACCACAACTGCTGCATGCAGATTTCACTGTCAGCATGGTACCAGTTTGGGTTATGCTGAGCTGAGGATTTGATGCCAGGCACAAATGACAGAATTGAAAAAGTTGCAGGAGTTTTGATAAAAATACAATTCCTTTAGGTTCTTCTCGAACATCTTTCCCTCCGCATTTCAACCTATAAATGAGAACCAACAAATAGAGACATTAGGAAAAAGTGTTTAGTGAGCTGCCTTTTCACAACTGTAACCAATGCCAAAGTTAAACCCAACACTAATACTATACTACTGTATTAGAGTATATAGTAATTTAATGTCCATAATGACATGAGAATATATTCAATAGAATTGTGGTCGATTCTCTTGTGTTTCAAAGGTTTTCCTCTTTCCATGACGAGAACTTCTAATAACTAAATGGATCATAGCTTTGCATTTAAATTAAGAGACTGACATTGTGTCATTGTCATGTCTAAATCTACATTTTCCTCACAAGAAATATAATAAATTTAATCTCAACAGGAATGAAACATAAGAGATATTACTAAAATTATACCTATCTTTCCCACTTCCTAAGCTTTCATAATCATCCTCCCCTAACTTTTCATAGACATTATCTGACTGATCAGGTGTCCATGGTTGATCATCATCATCCTGCACAATATTTTCATTCACATCTTCACAACTGTGTAAATCATCCATATCATCCAGTTGATCAGCAAACCCAGATTCATCCTCTTCGTCACAGGTTTGAGTATCTATAAGTTAGAATAATATGCGAGATGTAGTAAGTTAGAATAAATATCGGTTTTGATTTCCTTAAGTTTGTAGTCAATTAAAAGAAATATCTTGCCAGTTTCTACCATTACTGGTCTTTGGCTCAACTGTTCAAAGGTGTTAATCCAATCTTTTTGGTTTGAAGTTATCTTTTGGTTTAAGTTATCAACTTTATCATGCATAGCCCGTAGTTTCCTCTGAAGTTCCTTTTTCTTCTTTCTGAGAATTTTGCAGTTGTTGCATGGTGCTGTATTCATTCGAACTTCTTCAGACTTTTCAGGAACCTGAAGAAGACAAGATAGTGGAATTTAATACCTGAAAACAGGAAAGACAAGCTACTATTTCTGAGAACATATTATCTGTACTCTAAAGACAGACACATGCTTGGGAGTCAAAATGTTATGATTTCAAACCCAATGGTTAGCACTATTTTCCAACCATCAAACTGACCTGACCTCATTTTCGGAAGATGGAAAAGGTGTTAATTAAATGGCTATGTAACTAACCCAAACCATACCCCTAATTTAACTCCTAACTGCAATCCTAACTCTAACCCTAACCAAATTTATGACAAAAAAAACCCAAAATAAAAGACTTTAGAAAATCGATAGGGCTGTTTGCTGGATGGAAAATAGTGCTAACCTGATTGTTGTCATCATCCGTTGACAAAACAGAAACATCAGATAGCAGGAATGGCAATGATGTACTTGTGTGCTAAAATAAAACATTACATTAACTATGAATAAAATGAAAGTAAACTTGATTTTAAAAAATTTTTGCAGCAAGTGACATGACAGTACACTTGAGATTTTTCTCCATTGCATGTAAATTGCTTTTACAATATTAACAGATTAAACCACCGGGGATTCATTGAATGGTTCAGGGCCCAAAGCATCAGTATGTAGCAAGGTCAAATGAGAAGTACTATTTGGTTGTAAAGTTGGACCAGCATCTATCTAAAAGAGAGAAAACGTGAATATATAAACCAATCAAGTAAACTGTATACATTTCAATACGCTTATTTCCAGGTCGATGTTACTCTTACTGGCGTGTTTATAGGTCTGTTAGCATAGTTTTCTTTTCCAAACGAGGTACTATTTTGACTACTTTCTGCATTGCCACTGAGAATTTCATTGATGACCTGAAAACAATTTGAGAAGTTTATTATAGTATAAATGTTGACCAGTTGTCTTAAAATGTATTGTACGTTCTCAATGCAATATGACATGCATGTGACTTTATAGGCCACGTTCTCGACTTTTTCATGTGCTGAAGCCGAACTAATAATGCAAATGCCTAAAGTCTTTGTTTGAGTTCATTTGCATTAGGTTTGGCACATGAAAATCAGTTTAGATTTTTGACAATAGTAAAGGAGGGTATAACCTGTCATTTTAATATTTGAAAAAGATTGTAAAATAAAAAATAAAATAAATACAAAATATGTATAAATTAACTTATATACAGTACAGTATTTTATAAAATACTGTATATAATCTTTTTTTTTTAAAAAAGCCTACCTTCTGTCGATTTCTCTCCGATAAAGGTTTCTGTGGTTCTTTTTTCCATATCGTTGGGATAGAAAGTGGCTGAAGTTTGAGTCTAGAACCTTTCATATGTATCCCATCGAAACATTCCTCTCGAAAGTGTCCCGAACAGATCACAAAGACGCCTTTGGGATTGAAATTTGCTCGGTGCGTACGAACAAATCTCAACCATTTTCCATACTCCGTTTTGTCTGCAAGACTACGATGCAATGATATGCCAGCTCCAAGATTAGAAACATTGCTGCACTCTTGAACTACGCACCTAGCTGATGGCATTATTTAATTTTCAACAGATTAATTCAAATACGTGGAAAAAAGCAATACAAGTTCGTAATACGCGCCTAATTTCCATATGGCAAATTGCCTCGAGCATCTTTGTTGTTGAGTCTTTGACGTCACTTCCTGTCGCTTTTCTGCTACGAACGCTGTCGATTTCCAGAACATGTTCTCGCAATGGCGGTCGAAAATTCGTTTAAAAACAATTGAAAAAAGCCGACTTCTCGTGCTCGGAATCGCTTGAATTTTTGAACATTGGTTTATAATGCTGGGTTCTTCACGTTTATGTAAAAAAATGTAGCACAAATTTTTTGATCTCAGGGGCACTTTAAGTTTTTTAGCTCTACATTCACAATTTGTTCTATTTTCCAAAGACTTTTGTCAGCCATAATCTTTATGAAAACCATACTGAGAGGAAGACAATACATCATTGCTTTCAACAAATGATTCCATTCGTTGACACATTAATCTTTCAAATATTTTGTTAAAGTTTGAAAGTAAAGAAATGGGTCTGTAATTATTTACATCTAATTTGTCTCCATCTTTAAATATGGGTATGATTTTTGCCATTTTCAATTTTGACTGGTAAACTCCTGTTGAAATGGACATGCCAAATATTCTTGATAATACTAATAATGCCATATGCACATTTAAGTAACTGTGTATACGTAGTACAAGAGTAAAGCCCATGGGATTTGTTATTAACCAAACTTAAAATTTCCCTTCTGACTTCATACTCACTTATCGGCCGACAGAAAAAGATGCGTTTGGTGACTGGAGTTTATCAAGAAACGTTTTATAATTTATCTGTGAAGGTGTGGTAACTTATTTGCCAATTGCGAACCAACTGCGCAAAGTGATCATTTAAAATATTTGATATCTCTGAATGATCACAAACAATTGCATTATTTTTATGGTCTTTGATTGTGGAGATTTCCTTTCTATTTTTAGTTTTGTAGTTAAGGTAATTTATTCCTGCCCAAGACTTTTTCATATTTGTAATATGAGCATTGAAATAATCGTAATAATACTTCTTTTTGCTCAATCTCGTTAAACTACATTTGCTATTTCTATATAATTTATATTTAATTTCATTACCGGGCGCAAGTAATTTGTTTTTAATTTTAATAGAATCTCTTATCCCTTTGTTATCCATGGTTTGGATAGTTGCTTCACTTTCCACTTTGAAATTAGCTTCATAGGTGCATGTTTATTTCATAAAAAATTCAAACATTTGTGAACATTGCACGCGAAATTAAAAAAATTGCACAAAGTTTATACAAGAACAAACTATAGAAAACAATCTATTGTTAGTAAAGGTATTGACATTTGGAATAATTTAAGTACCAAGTTAAAAAATATTGGATCATATATGGTTTTCAAAAAAAATGTGAAAGCATACTTTATATCACACCAATCAGCTAATTAATCATCCTATTTTAATGTATAAAGTTTAAAAAATCTGAAAAATCTTGTAAATAGACTAACTTTCCTTTAACTCTTTCCCGACAGGCCGGTTTCGCATTACATTTTGATTCAATTTTTCTAATATAAATATCTCGGCGAGTATTTACCCCCCTTTTAAATAAATGCCACCATTGAAATCCTCATAAAATAACCTTTCGAACGGGGGGTCAAGTGCCGTCAAAACATTACACAAAGCGAAGCAATCATATGTTTACTCACCGCTTGGCCAAAGATTCTAAATTTCATATCCACAAGATCTTGAATACCCCTTGAACTTTTCGTCATTTGCTAAACGGCTATACGTGTAAAATACTCTCTGTATTCAAGCGCTTTCGTGTAGAAAGTTTCGTATGTATACGCCGACTAGAAATATTTATTTTGAATTTCTGAAGATATCGGGTTTTACTCGCACTTGCGTACATTGCGCAATAATTGGCCAATAAGAAGCTCCTTTGGCCGGGATGACGTCAAACTCACGCGTATAGGTGCAATTTGACCTTGCAAATCCATGTCCTTTACCGTCTTTTTCCAGTTCGGATGTAAAAGAAATGTTTGGGTGTTGGCGGTTAAGATAGTTAAGAAAGAGAGGTACGTGGTCCAAGGATCTAAAAAGAAGAAAACGGTCATCAACATAACGTCGATACAGAATAGGTTTGAAAATAGACGGACAGTTGTAAAGCCATGATTTCTCATGGAAAGACATGATTTCTCATGGAAAGACATAAATATATTGGCAAAGAGAGGGCCTAGAGGACTACCCATAGTCACGCCATCAATCTGTTGATAAATCCGACCATTAAAGATAAAGTGACAGTTTTTAACAGAAAGAGATAGAAGTTTAATGAACTGTGAGCGATCAAAGCCTTCAAAATACATGCAGCTGGCAAAGATGTGATTAGCAACAATCTCAATTGTTTCATCAACAGGAATGTTGGTAAACAATGAAGTAACGTCAAAGCTAGCCATAACCACACTATCTGAGTTGATGTCGCTGTTCAAGAGTTCTTGAACAAAAGAGAACGAGTCCTTGATAACGAAAGAGCTTGTAGAGATAGGAGTGAGAAAGGGAATGAAGAATTTAGCTATCTTGTACGAATAATGATTGATAGAAGATAAAATAGGTCTTAAAGGAATAGAGGATTTGTAAATTTTTGGAAGTCCATATAGTATGCCTATACGTGTACCAGTGGGTTACAGTTCGTTGTAAGTTCTTTCATTGATACAATTGTCAGCCTTTAGTTTCCTTAATAGCGTCTTAACTTGACTTTCACGCTTAAGGGTTAGCTTGATTGCATCATCATCCAAAAGTTCAAATTTTGAGGTATCCGACAGTATTTGATCCATCTTTTTATTGTAGTCATCCTTATTAAGAATTACTACGCCATTTCCCTTGTCAGGTTTCATAATTACAATGCTGCTGTCGTTCCCGAGGTCTTTGAGAATTTTCAGTTCTTCCTGCGTATATAAAGCGTTAGGTCGATTGTAGCTTCGGAAACCGGAGTATGCGATATCTTTCAACTTGGCTTTAATCGAAACCGGGAAGAAGCCAGAATTAAAGTTGATGGGTTCTCGTTTAAGTTGATTGTAAAACTTTTCAAACGGTGTGAGGAAACTACAGGAATTCAGTTTGGTTGGTGGGATGGCAAAGTTAAGTCCTTTGGATAGGATTTCCTTTTCTTTGTTCAAGATAAGGCGATCAGAGAAATTGAAAACTACGTCATCAGGGTTGACCGAGTTCGAGTTATTTTGTCCAGAGCAGAGACGAAAAATCTTGCGTTCTTGAACGCGCTGATGTTGACTAAGTTTTTTCGAATTTTCACGATCGGAAACGTTTTTTAGATGAATGAAATCCATGTTTGAAACCAATGAGGCTAGTTTAGAATGCGCTGTAGTTGCTTGCGCGGAGAGTGTTCGCATCCGAGCGTGCTTCGCGTTGATTTCGTCTTTCAGTAACTTGTTTTGACATTGTCTATAGGCGCTAGATGTTTGCAATCTGCGATTTGCAACCTTGAACCAGAAAAATCGTGGTATTACCGAGCGCTTTTTACACGTTGAGAGGAATTCCAAGTCGAGTTTGGCTTTACCAAGCTTGAGTTCCAGACATTGGAATTTCCTGAACGCTTCAAGTGCGCCGTTGTTGTAGCGATCAATATCGTTGCCAGAGATTTGCCAGAGATTTGCCAGGTGGAAAACGAATTCGTATAATAAATATGAGAGCCCAACATATAACTTACAAAGCCATTAAAACAGTTTTAAAAGATTGTAAAGAATTTTAATTGTAACGTTTCGTCTTTAACTTCAGACATCTTCAGACTAGATAAAATTACACGAGATGTGAATATATATAAGCTAATTATAATCTATTTACAAGGTGTTATGTTACTAAGGATAATAAAGGATAAGAGGGTGTATGTAAGACAGGACGATACAAATGAGGAAACAAAACAGACACAAGAAAACGGCAAATTACAGAAGGTTAAGCGGAATAGAGCTACCCTGGACGTTAAGAGTAGGTTTTTGTTTAGATATAAAAAGGCTTTCATGAATCAATAATTCACAAGTGTCTGAGCAAGAGGAAAGAATTTTGAAGTCGTCAAAGTTGGCAGAATGCCCTGTAGTATTTAAGTGAGAGAAAATACTAGACATGACTGGACTGGATGACGGCTGGCCTGTTATAGGAGTGAGTCCCAGGTGTTCCGATACTCTGGTGTGTAAATGGCGCATGGTTTGACCCACATACAACGCGGAACAGCATCGACACTTAAATAAGTATACAACACCAGATCTCAGGAACAACAAACGAACTGTATCCCACTGGTCCCACTTACAACGAACTGTATCCCACTGGTACACGTATAGGCATACTATATGGACTTCCAAAAATTCACAAATCCTCTATTCCTTTAAGATCTATTTTATCTTCTATGAATCATTATTCGTATAAGATAGCTAAATTCTTCATTCCCTTTCTCACTCCTATCTCTACAAGCTCTTTCGTTATCAAGGACTTGTTCTCTTTTGTTCAAGAACTCTTGAACAGCGGCATCAACTCAGATAGTGTGGTTATGGCTAGCTTTGACGTTACTTCATTGTTTACCAACATTCCTGTTGATGAAACAATTGAGATTGTTGCTAATCACATCTTTGCCAGCTGCATGTATTTTGAAGGCTTTGATCGCTCACAGTTCATTAAACTTCTATCTCTTTCTGTTAAAAACTGTCACTTTATCTTTAATGGTCGGATTTATCAACAGATTGATGGCGTGGCTATGGGTAGTCCTCTAGGCCCTCTCTTTGCCAATATATTTATGTCTTTCCATGAGAAATCATGGCTTTACAACTGTCCGTCTATTTTCAAACCTATTCTGTATCGACGTTATGTTGATGACTGTTTTCTTCTTTTTAGATCATTGGACCACGTACCTCTCTTTCTTAACTATCTTAACCGCCAACACCCAAACATTTCTTTTACATCCGAACTGGAAAAAGACGGTAAACTACCTTTTCTCGATGTCGATATAACTCGCTCAAAC